AAAATTTGATTCCAAAATCAATAATCTTTATGGATCACGCAACATTATTGGCATATGAATAATAATTTCACCAATTGTTTGTTCATCGTGAATACTAAAAGAAAACTGATATAATCTAAAAATAACTTCGACAATTTGCTGACTCCATTCTAATTCCTCTCTTTTCAAGAGATCGTCCACGTTGGTTAGAAGTCTGAACAACTTTTCAATATCTGGCACGAATCTCGATAGTTTCATAATAAATTCATTATTACTCATTAACGAAAATTCACTGAAATTTTGGAAAGCAATTAATGGATGAAGAAATCAATGAATAAGTCATCATAAATCAGCGACATCGAGTCGGAATTCAGTTGAGCATAAAACAATGCAACTGAATGTCATAACTAATTGGTAATAGCATCCAAAGCTATCAATTAAGGAGAAAATTTGGTAGAACCAACCTCGGTTTGGGATCAGCAGATATCAGTGGTGGAGATCGCTCTGCCCCTGAACGAGCGCTTTCACCCTTTAACTCATCACAACGTTCACCATTCATCTCGATTTTTTCGGTAGAATCCTGCTGTTGGCAGCTTCGTTTCGGTTCACTTTTTACCTCTTCATCAACACTCTTTGGGATGCAAATTTTCTGCTCCACTTTTTCGACATCTCTTTCCTCAAGTTTTATCTCACGATCAGTTTGCAACGTTTTTGTATCGTTTATTACAATTTTGGTTTCGGTATTCTTCGCTTTTTCCGAATGATTTTCGGTTTGTTTTGCCTCTTTTTTGCCACTTGAAAGTTTGACGCTCTTGTCACTTTCTTGAATTGTTTCCAATGGAGATTGCGCTTTTACGACGACCTCCTCTTTAGTGCTTCTCATCTTGCTAGCTTCCGTACGATTCATTCTCTTAACATCACCATTTGTAGTCAATTCACGTCCAGTGTTTACCAGATTCGTTGGCTTTTTGATAGTTTTCCGTTCAGATTCCGGTATTTTCTTCTCATAACGATTGTTGGTGACCAATCGTATCTGTGGTGGTGGAAATGCCCAAAGAGGATATTCGGGAGCAAATGGCACAGGAGCCATTAACGGATAACGAGGGACAAACGGCATTTGTGGTGCTGGAATTGCGAAGAGAACATGATAGTCGGTTGGATGTGGTGGTGCTTGAACGTATGGTCTGGGCATGGGTGGTAATTCGATTGGTTCAGTGGTCTTCACTGGCGCAGCATTAAGCTTTGCGAATGTATCATGCAATAGCTTGACTTTTTGCTCATACGCTTCTTTTGCAACTACATCACCATCTATGAAAAGTACAACTTGAAGTGGTCACCATGTTTTAATGAATGGCATTACTATTTTTATTACTGCTACTCGTTATTAGTCGTGTGTTTATCACTACCATCAACGCAAGAAGTGCTTAGCGATGAAAACATTGGTGATGATAACATGAATGTTTCCGTGAATGAAAACTTCTTCGTGAAACTATTTTGTAATCGCCTAAAGATGGCAGCGAGTGGCACATGGCAAAGATTCATCCTAAACAGATTGCAAGAAGAGGAAAAACTTTCGGCAAGCTGTAATATGTAAGAAAAAGATTGTATTATAAGTGCAAAAACCAAAGAACTGAATAGTAATACTTTGTGCAGCAATTTGCATGTTTTGATTGTATGTGTGACGCATTCGCGTGATCAGTCGTTTGAGATCGTGGCACTTCATTTTTTTAGTTGATATTTTCGTATCCGATTTAATTCTCACAGTGAAGGTATTCTGATCACCATCATTGCCTGCTTCTCCGGATAAAGGTTCCGACTGACGGGACTTTCTCGGCATTGCTCGTTCCTTCATTCACAATAACTGTAATAATTGACAGGATTTTTTCTGATTTTTGTTGAGTGGAATTGCATCTCCGAAAGACTTGAACAGGATGGATAGATGGAAAATGATATATGATAGAGATTATAGCGGATCTACGGAAGACACTCCCAAAAGATGTTGGCTAAATCTAGACTTGACACAATACAACGTCCGAAATCCAAGAGGAAACTTAACCTCATTGATCATTTCATGAATAACTGAAGCAAGAAACAAGAGAAAGTGAACTAGCTATACGACCACCAAATGGCAATGATAAGAAGTTTCTCTCTGTCCTTATTGTTATCAGAAGATTATTATCATAAAATTTAGAAGGCAGTGCATAGACGGGCAGGCTTTGTAATGTTGACATCATTATTGTTGTGTGCGTTGCTTACACATACGTTTTATTTGCTCTCGTTTCTTTTGTTTTT